TTCCCAGAATTCTCTATTCCGGATCTTCACCATATAGGGAGTTGAAAAGGAGTACCTGCGCAGGCAAACGTCTGCCGCTCGAGCCAAGACTGGGACATCTCCCAGGAGCCTAAGCTTCTTGACGTGCCTGCACCCTTCCTCACTTCGCACGTATCCCAAACTTTTCAAACGCAGGAGTGCCCTCCCAGCCTCGGCCTCAATCACATAGTGAAGTGGCCGAAGTCCAAGAATCACCTCCATCGCAGCAGTTGGTGTAGTCTTCATGCAGCCAGTTGCTCCCAAACTGACCACCCTTTGAAGGCGTGTCAGTTGCGTTCTAGCCGTGGCCAGGGTTACCCTCGGCCACCAGACCAGAGCCGCGTATGTGAGCATAGGCAGCATGATCACTTTATAGAACCACATGATCGTCTTTGGGGTTAGTCCCCACTTCAGACCGATGGCTCTCCTACAGGCCCAGTACGTGTTAGTCACCTTGTCTAGGCGACTATCAAGATGGGCCTTCCATGTCAGTGACTTATCCAGGATCACCCCTAGATATTTCACCTGTTCAACCACTGGAAGTGGTATTCCGCCAAGGTGCAGACCCTCCGGTCTTATACCTCTCCTTTTGGTGAAGGCAACTACCTCAGCCTTGGCAGGATTCACTGCAAGTCCGTGCTCGTTGCACCACCCCTGTACCCTATTCAGGGCCCTTTGCATTAGGTCCCTGAGGACGGTGATATGCCTTCCAACAACAAGGACAACGATATCATCGGCATACCCAATTGCTAGAAAGCCCTCACCGTTTAATAGGGTTATGAGTTCGTCGATTACTAGGTTCCACAACGTGGGCGAGAGAACGCCCCCTTGCGGACAACCCCTGTCGACGACCATTTTAGCCACATGTTCTTTCCATGTGGCCTCTACAGTGCGATTGCGTAACATGGCCCCAAGCCATTGAATTAACATTGGCTCTATTCCATGATTTACCGCAGCTCTACACATTGATTCTACAGGTGTGCTGTCAAAAGCTCCCTGTATGTCCAGGAATGCACCCAGTGCGATCATGCCATTTTCCAGCGCCTTTCCCACCTGTGTTACCAGCTGGTGTAAGGCACTTTCCGTTGACTTCCCACACCGGAACGCATGCTGGTTGTTGTGCAAAGGATACCTGAGCCCAACCTTCTCCCTCATATACCGATCAACCAACCTCTCCAGTGTTTTTAGCACAAAAGATGTTAGGCTGATGGGTCTGAAGGACTTAGCCACGGTGTAGGTAGTACGACCTGGCTTTGGTATGAAGACAACTCGCACTTGTCTCCACTCTTCAGGAACATATCTGCTTGCCAAGCAGGCCCGAAAGATATGCACTAAGATTGGACCAATAGCCTCCCAGCCCTGCTGAAGTAGAGCCGGGAAGATTTGGTCCTTCCCCGGAGATTTGTAGGGCCTAAACGTACGTATAGCCCAGGTACTCCGTTCGTAAGTAACTATTTCTTTTGCCAGAAGATAGTCCTCTTTACATGGTCGTCGTGTGGCCACGTGTCCCATGTCAAGACCCTCCTTCCCGACTGCTTTACAGCCCGGGAAGTGAGTCTCTAATAGGTGCTGCAAGGTGTCACCCGGGGTTTCCGTGAAAACACCCGGTACGACTTCCAGGCAGCCAAGAGAACTGTCAGGAGACTTCGCCAAGATACGACGCAGCCTTGACATCTGAGGTACCGAGACGATATCCTCGCAGAAGGCCCGCCAAGCATCTCTCCGAGCCAGCCTAACAGCACTCTTATACTCACTTCGTTTCTGGCGGTATTGTTCCCATTCCAGATCCGACTCTGTCTTCCTAGCCCTATTAAATAGACGCCGGGTTTGTTTTCGCAACGAGTCCAGAGAGTTGTTCCACCACTTGTGTCCCTTACCCTCTTTCCTCGTTTTTTCCACGCAATTATCTTCATACGATGAGACAATAATCGAGCCCAGCTCCGCTACGGCCCAATCAATCTCATCGTTATTTCTGAGGCTCCTAGGGAACCGCTGGAGCCTCCCCTCGAGATCCAGTTTATACCGTTCCCAATTGGTGGCCCTAGGGTTCCTATACTTCACTGCCTGTTTTTCAGCAGCAGCATTATATCTGAAACCGTCTTGCGAAGCTCCTCAGTAGGCGGTAATCCTGGTGAATCGTAGGGCAAGTAAGCAGAGCATACGACCAAGGTACGTCTCGTGCTATTCTCATCCGGTAAATCCACCTTCACCGCAACAAGATCCCTGAAACAGAGTTCCCTTATCAGTGTTGTATTTACACTATTATGTGTAGAAATACACACTCTCGGATTAGGTTCACCCACAGCGTAGAATAAACTACGCCCGGGTGTGCCCAGACCTCGCACATGACCTCTATACACCCATGGCTCTTGTATGAGGCATATGCCTGTCTGCAACCCTGCCATCCGCTGCGCGATTACTCCCGCGGCGGCCCGGCAATGTTGCAGATTTATCTGCGTAAATTTAAGGTCCCTGCAAGCAGACATCAAGAGTCTGAAAGAGGTACCTCCTTTACCCATTTACTCCGGGGTAGTCTCCGTAGTTCCCGAGAAGATAATTTTTATCTTCCCGAGCCCATACCGGATTTCCCCCTTCGTGCGTTCGAGCACCTCAACCGACCGAGGATCGAGCCCCAGTACGATGCTCTGCCTCAACGAGGCAGCATCCCACTGGGAGGCCCGAATCACCCCCCCTTCAGTCCTAAGGGCCGGATTGCCAGTCCGGATCCTCCTAAGGACCTCCTGGGGAGGCGTCTCGATCGGCGCTGGTACCCAAACCATCGCCCTCTTGAGCCTCTGGAGGGCCGACTGCTCAATAATCTTGAGCGTCTGTCCCTCCACCTTGATACCGGTTACAGCCCTCTTCAGCCAAGCCAGAGAGTCCCCGTCCGTACAGATCACCATAATGGCTCCCCGGGCAAACGAGTGTCCCTCAAAGCTCGGCACGAAGGTGGTGCCCGGCTTATACATATCCTCGTGCAGACGCGTGAGGATATTCGCGTACTGCTCCTTGATGAGCAGATTGTCTGGGTAGCCATCACGGATGATGGCCACCTTGAGGTCGCTGCTTGCAGCTTCCCCATACGACATCCGCCCACCAGATGCAGTACACGCCTTCTTGGGGACCGGTCTGGCCTCCGGGGGCGTATCAGTCACCCGGGGCCTTTTGGTCCCCCCTTTGGGGGCATCGGGCTTGACTCCGCTAGGGCCGGCACTCTCGTGCGTGCCCCGGCTCGGTCCTGCCGCCGCCACCTTCTTGCAAGGGCCAGTTGGGTCACCTTTCGGCGTCCCTTCCGCCGCCCTTGCAGCTTGGCGTCTCCGCCTCTTTTCCGCACCGCAAATGCGGCGCCTCCTAGGTACCTCAGATGCAGGGGCAGTAGTTCCCGGCAAAGCCTGGGCGCCAACTAAGGAGGTAAGGCTACTTACAATGGGGTTTCGCCCGGTTCCCCAAGGTCGGAACCGGTAAAGATCGATCTTCTGTTCGACCACGCGTCCTATGGGCCCGGTCCCCCGCCTCAGGATTCAGGTTTCTTGTTGAGGTTGTCTCCTCTTAGTCCAGGCGGCTAAGCCACGACCCCCGACTCTCTGGCCCGCGAGACATGACCACAGTCAGCCAGGTTGCCGGTCTCACAGAGGTCCCACTCGGGCCCTCTGGCATCGTTCACCCCGTGCAAACCCTAAGCCACGACACTACAGCCGGGTTGGGGGGTGGTCCGCGGTGGGGCCTTCAGGTCCAGCTGGTAGTCTTGCGGGTTTTAAGCCGCTCATACCAACCATCAACCCTTATAGCCCACACTTCCCAGCGCGTACACATCCGAACTGCCATATTGCGGTGTTAGACGCTCAGACAGCCCTTCCGGACGCTGGGTTACCCCTATCCGCCACCTGGGGACGCGCCCGATGGGTTCCACCACACGGGAGCGATTGTATTAGTTTACATAATCATTTGTTATCGCATTCCTATTTAGGTGTGCTTAAAATAAATCCTTAAGAGAAACGAAACTTGTATATTTTTTAATAATTTTAATGGCGTTGTTAAGCGAGCTTAATCCTTATTTTATATGGCCATAATAGCGTACATTTATTTATTTTATGATTCGTTTTCGTTATTAATAAAGTGTTCGTTCTATAATAAGAAGAAAGATGTGCTACTATCTTCAGGCACAGTAAAAGGCCGAATACACAAAGTGTAGCTGAAGTCTGAAACAAACGAGAAGAAGAAATTAGTCATAAACAAAATACACTATTAGTTCACGGTTTGTAGAATAATACGGTTGTCTCGTAACTTTTTAGCCAATCACGCACGGTATCTCGTGACGTCACAAGAATTCGAGTGGCAAATTCCGAGCATCTCAAGTGTAATGAAATTACAAATGTTTTAACAGGTCTACGAATTTACCATGGCACCTGGGGAAAATATTTTCTGCGCGAAGTAAGGGTCAGTGTGCGACAAGGATAGCATTCGGAATAGAGAGATGGCTATACAGGTAGTGAACGTAGTCGCATTTTACTCGACACTTTGCATTAAACGGAATGCAATTATAAAAATTATTTAATACCGTTATTTATTAGAGATTAAATTCAATTAGCTTACTTATATTGAATGCAAATCTCAATATGTTTTGAATGTATAGAAATTGTAATTCCGTGATGTTAAATTAGTTTAATAAGAATAATTATTGCGTTCGCATTCAAGCCCATCAATTTTAAACCGGAATAATTAAATATCAATCAAATATAATAATAAATCTTAATATTAATCTTATACGGGGAATAATTAATTATTGGATTCATAGGAAAATAACATAACAATGAAAATGGGTTTTTCAGACTGGTGACGTATTCCCCCCCACTTTTGCCAGCAAAGTGAGGTAACCGTCTTATTCTACAAACCGTGCTATTAGTTAATAGTTTTAGTTTTTATAAACACGCAAAAACTGTTCTCCATCGATATTTACAGATTTATAAATTACATTTTATAAAATGTCTTCTAAGTGGACTAACTGGAGAGAACCTTCTAAAAACTTGCCCTCCTGTTCAACAGAAGAAGTCGAAGATGAATTTGTTTCTACAAAATTTAACAAACACAAGAAGAAAATTTTATCGGACAGCGAAGATGAAGATGCTCAAGAATATATCAAAGATGATGATGAAGATGTCGACGATGCTGATAGAGAAGGTAGTGATGAAGATATCACAGCACTCTCTAAAGAAAATTATGAAAATGACGATAATGATGTAACGAAGAAACCAAGAGAAAATATTAGTAATAATTCTGCTGAAGAAAGTAATGACGAGGTGCCGCTCCCAGACAGTTTTATTCAAGTAAGTTTACTGAACACTCATTACACAGCGTTTTTATTTATTTATTTACCAGGAGAAATAACCGGAAGTAGGCGTCAACTTTGTTATTTCAAATGGAACACCCTGTATATTGATGTATTTTTGAAAACTACATCAAATTGTAGGGTACTTTTGTCTAAAACACTTTTTTCAAAAATTCATACTTTTTGAGTTAATTTTTTTTCTGAAAAATTTGACCAAAGCAGGCCCTAATAAAATATTTTTTTATGAGGATCCCCTTAAAGATATGGAAACGGTTTCTGTAGGGTAGCCATTAGGAAGGTCAAAGGTATTTGAACCTGTGTTGGAAAACTTTTTATTTTATACAGGGTGTGAATAAAATTTGTACAAAGTTGAACATCAAAAATATCTAATTTCTTCGTTTTTTTAATGGAAACACCAGTTATTTTATTTTAAAGAAATCAGCGATAAAAAATAAGTTCATATTTATCTCCCTATACCTAAACCTAATAGTTTTGAAGATATTCAAAATTTTACTTAAAACTTACTTTTCAACCTAATTCTTAAATAACTCGGTTTTACAAGTTGGCCATGTAATATCCTACAAGTACCAAAATTAACAATCAGTAAATCAAGAAGAATTTACATGGCCAACTTATAAAACCTATTTAATTGAGAATAAAGCAGAAATGTAAGTTTTATGAAAAATTATTATCTTCAAAATTTGGATCATTATAAACGACTGGCAGATAATTCAAAATGCTAAAATCATTTTTCAAATGTGAATCATGCTAGCACCCCCACCACGACTAAATTGAAAAAAAAGTAGCCCATAATTAGGAGCTAATTAAGGGCTAATTTGTACCACAAAAATTAAAATTAGTACCACCGGGATATATGGAGAAAAACTGCATTGAAAATGGGGGGTGCTAGCTTGAGTTCAAGGCAGCACCCCCACTTTGTCCGAATTCAAAATCACATGCATCAAAATAAAGGGGATATTAAAGGCTAATTTGTACGACAAAAAGTTTTTTTTTATATTTATTAATAACGTCAAAAAATAAAATAGTGAATATACGATATTATAGAATTAATTACAGGCAAATTTGTACCACGGCAGAATTTTTTACATTTTTCAATAAAAACTCAATTCAAGTTTTAAGCGCAATTTAAGTTTAAAGCTTGAAGAGACGACTTTAAAGGTGATTTATTAAAGGAGCTGGGTTAGTAAAAATTCTGTAATTGTAGGTATAAGTTTGAATCATAAATGAAAAACACAAATTAAACAAATAAAATAAGACCGAATTATATATTTTGAATCCGAAACACCGTTTTTAAAAAATACAACTTTATTGTTAAACAATGTATCGAACCCAATGGTTCTGAAGTCTGAAGAAGAGTGAATTAAAATTAACAAATCAAGAGCTAAATTCAAATAAAACGATTACATATTATAAAATATAAAGAACAAAGAAAATTAACAATAAACATTCCTTGGATATCAGCTAGATTTGACCGGACGCTCTTATCTATAAAACCTTGCGTTTACTGCACAAGTGACTCAAGCTATCGTTTTAAACGTAAATTTCAATTGAATTGAATTTACATTGAAAATTAGTTATACATATGTATGATATTGTGAGAATTAGTCACCTAGTAAGAAATATTTGCTCGAGCCGCAGTTACATGCGTAGCACCTTATGATGTAATACTTTATATTGCACTTTTGCTGATTTAGCTTTTTATTATAATCTATTGTTTCTTTAATAGGATTAAGCAGATTTCCGATGTACGTGCTAGAGTTAAGACGTAAATTTTATCCGAATTAATTGTCGGTTATTTCTGAAAGTTTGTATTTTCAAAATAAATTTTGTTTTTAAAAACAAGGTTTTGAATCTCGAACTTGTAAGTCCGCCACCGGTCATGGGAAGCCAGTACGCTGAATCATCATTGTTGCATTTATAGTTTTTTTTACGTTATCTTTGCGGGATGATTCAACGGAATATTTTTAAAAGAAACAAAGAATGGAAGGATTCATTCTGTGCTTCTCCGTGCTCGGATACAGAAGCCGCTCATGTTTATTAGTTGTATGAAAAACAATAAAAAGTGCTATTGAACAGTCTTATCAGTTTTTGGGAGATAATTTCTAACAATATCGTATATTCACTTTTTGAATTGACGAAAGTGGGGGTGCTAAGATTATGGAGCAGCGACATTCACAGCATTCTATTTTATTTTTTTAACTTCTTTAATAAATATACATATACAGTGCATTTCTTTAATGTCCCCCCCCTGTTATTTTTTGAACGGATCAACTTAGAAAATTGAAATTTGGGATAATGAAACTAATGTATGATTACTATATTTTGGAGTAAAATTGACAGATGAAAATTTCAAGATGGCGACTGGGCGCCATCTTTGGAAATAAATTTAAATGGAAAAGGGGGGTCTTGTGATACATCATTTTGAAGCTCCTGAAAAATACTCTACAACCCTGGAATATAAAGTCAATATCTGCACCTGCAACAAAATGGAGGTCATTTATTAATTACCTGAACATGTCGACGTTTAAAGTCATAATTTGAGGAAATAAGCTGAGTTTAGTTCAAAAAAAGCTCGAAATGATTGCCTTGAACTTCTTAATGTAAGAACAGCCTAACCGAACATTTTCGAACATAGTAACGTCGATATTTTTACAAATATCTGTAATTATTTCTCGTATATCCAATATTGAAGCAGGTTTAGTTTCGCTTCAAATAGCCCCATGAAAAAAAAGTCTAAAGGTGTCAAATCTGGCGAGCATCAGGCTGGCCATTCCGTAGGACCTCGACGACCAATCCAACGACCATGGGAAAATAGCATCCAAATAGTTCATTACTTGTCTGGAGTAATGTGGTGGTGCTCCATCTTCCAATGGACGAGAATTGGCCATTTTAGAGTTAGTTCACGTGCTACCTAACTGCAATGAGAACTAAACAACCGAAAACTAAATGAAAATACTTTGAACACTAGGAAAATCGAAAACTAAAGAGAATATTTTGAACACTAGGAAAACCAAAAACTAAATGAGCATATTTTGACTAAACAATTAATGTTCGTTGTCGTACTTAAATTTTTTGGAATTTTTTTAACCAAAAATAACCTGTCAAACCTTATCGGTTTGCTGGGATTGCTGTTTGCCATAGAAAAACAAATATTTCTAGAAAAATATATATTATTTTGTTTATATTCAGGTAATTATTAAATGTTCCGCCATTTTGAAATGGGTGCAGATATTGACTTTATATTCCAGGGTTGTAGAGTATTTGTCAGGAGCTTTAAAATGATGTATCACAAGACCCCCCTTTCCATTTAAATTTATTTCCAAAGATGGCGCCCAGTCGCCATCTTGAAATTTTCATCTGTCAATTTTACTCCAAAATATAGTAATCATGCATTAGTTTCATTATCCCAAATTTCAATTTTCTAAGTTGATCCGGTCAAAAAATAACAGAGGGGGGGGACATTAAAGAAATGCACTGTATAAAAAACTTTTTGTGGTACAAATTAGTCTTTAATATCCCCTTTATTTTAATGCATTTGATTTTGAATTCGGACAAAGTGGGGGTGCTGCCTTGAACTCAAGCTAGCACCCCCCATTTTCAATGCCGTTTTTCTCCATATATCGCGGTGGTACTAATTTTAATTTTTGTGGTACAAATTAGCCCTTAATTAGCTCCTAATTATAGGCTACTTTTTTTTCAATTTAGTCGAGGGGGGATGCTAGCATGATTCACATATTTTTCAAGTAATAATTTCAAATGCATAATAAGAAAATAAATGTTCGGCTAAAATAAAAAATGCACTGTAATTTAGTAAATGTTCGGTTAAAAATCAACATGCCCGGTTAAATAATAAATATCCACCTATGTGAACTTAGCACCCGACTTAAAGATAAAAAAAATGAAATTATATTATTGAAAAGATAATCGTTTGTACCCTTTTGTACCGCCTTTTTTTTCGTTTGTACCTCAAGGGTAAAAAAATAGGGGGTGTCGAAAAATTGGTCAGCACCTCACTTCATTTTTTTTTTAATTTTCCAATGGCATTTAAAAGAGCATCGTTTGTACCCGTTTGTACACCTTTATTTTTGTTTGTACCTTAATAATTTAATGAATGCTCGGCAATAAATTAATAAGCTCTTGAAAATAATAAATATTTGACAAAAATGTAGATGCTTGGTAGGTTGGTAGGGTAAAGAAGGGTAGATGGGAGTAAGAGAGGTAGGAGGAGGTAGGGAGGAGTAGTATAGCGTAAGGTAGGGGAGTGGGGGTAGGCAGATGGTAACGGTGTGTAGAAGAGGATAGGTAGGGGTAGAGGAGGATAGATGGGGGTGCGGTGTTAGTTGTGGCTATAGAAGGGTAGAAAAGCATAGCGTAGGGTAGAGGAGTGTATAAGGGACGGAGCGGGGGTTGATAGAGGGCAGCGGGGGATAGAAAGGGGCAATGGGGTATATAGAGTAGTGGGGGATAGGTAGGGTGTAGCGGAGGGTAGAAGACGGTAGCGGAAGTTAGATGAGGGTAGATGAGGTAGGTGTAGGGTAAAAAGGGGTAGCGGAGGGTATTGTAGAGTAGTGTAGAAGGGAGTAGCGGGTGAGGTGGAAGGTAGCGAGTGGTAGGTGTAGCTAGTGGAGGGTAGAAGAATTTAATTAAAAATAGTTACCTAGCTTTTTTATTTTTTTAATGCAAAATTTCAATTAATACTAAACATACATTAACGAGCATTAATATATTGTTTAGTGCAAATTTTAATAAAATATTGAATGTAATTTACTATGCAAATTGAATATTTTGTATTGCGATTTTTTAATAATCATTAGGCATTTTTCATTATTTAACCATGCATTTTTAATTTTTTAACCGAACATTTATTATTTTTTTGCCGAGCAAAATGCATTTTTCAGCCGAACCTAAATTCCCACTTTAAAACTACTAAGTTTAGGTATACGAAAATAAACATGAACTTCCCTTATTTTTTACCGCTGATTTAATTAAAACATAAAAAATGGGTGGTTCCAATTAAAAAAATGAAGAAATTTGTTAATTTTTTTGTTAGTAAATTACTTTGTTAAGTTTTGATTTTTCTCATGTAGAAATGTAAAAATTGATTAATCAATGATTAATTATTAAATAAATTGAAACCATTTTAATTTTATTAAGTGCGGATCTGTAATTATAATTTTTATTGGTTTATGTGAGTGTTAATTCAAGTTCAATAGGTTCATTTCAGGAATTTCCATGAAAGTGTTAAGTAAACCTGGGTTTATTAAAGAAAAAATAATTAAAATCCCTTCAATTACATTTTACATGGACCAAAAATCTCATAATGTACATTTTAACGTTTAAATTTTGGTAGAAAAGCGGCATGCGGGAAAATAAAAAGTTGATGATTGTATTCAGTTTTTATGCTATTTCTAAATTGGAAATTCAATTTTTAAAAATATGATGTATAGGGTGTTGTTTTAGGGTCGGTCAAATTTTAATAATTTTTCTAAATCCGGACTTGGATTTTGTAATTTTTTAATGTGGCAATAAATTGTCCTAAAGGTATTGAATATATATGCCAAATATCAAAAAAATATACTGAGTGATTCAAAAGTTATAAGTGTCGAAAGAAATGGGCCAAATTCAAAAAACACCCTGTAACTCGGTTATGAAGGGCGCAAGACCCATAGTATATGGTTTTTTTTTGTAATCCCCTGGGTGACCTCTATATAGGGTTAAAATATTGCCCTTTCCCAATGAAACACCCTGTATATTAACATACAGGGTATTCCATTTAAAATAACAAAGTTGATGCTTACTTCTGGTATACGGAAGTGGTATGACTATTAAAATATTTTAAAGAGGTTCTTCTTAATATTAAGCTAGCAGGACTGCATACAAAAATAAAATAAAAAAATAAAAAAATAAAAAAAGGGTATAAATACAACGGCCAGAATTTGTGCTAATTTGTGCCATCCAAAACAAGCAGCTAAATAGACTAATTCTCCTTGAAATAAGGGCGAATTATATTTACCTCGATTGGGCTCAAGAGTAAAGTACCCGTTTCGACGAACAGAATTCAATTTGAACCGGTACATTCGAAGCATACTAATTTGTGCTTCACAAATATAACTTCAGATGAAGTTAGCAAATTACCCCTCCCAAACCTAAGTTAGACCAGTCCCACCGGAACCATAACAATATAGAAATTTGCCGCTTTTTTGCCGTAAAACAATGTGTATGTAGGAAATGAAAAAAAAAAATTTTCTTGTTTTAAACAATAATTATGGCAGCTAATGTGAAGACAACAAACCACAGCCGAGAAATTGACAGAGCGACTTTTACTGCCACTATGATAGCACAGGAATACAGTACCTATGTGAACTACCTATGAGCACCCGACTTTGAGATAAAAAAAATTAAATTATATTATTGGAAAGATAATCGTTTGTACCCTTTTGTACCACCTTTTTTTTTCATTTGTACTTCAAGGGTAAAAAAATTAGGGGGTGTCGAAAAATTGGTCAGCACCCCACTTACTTTTTTTTATTTTTTAAATGGCATTTAAAAGAGCATCGTGTGTACCCTTTTGCGCGGTAAAAAGAAAATATGCTAAAATAATCTAAATTTTTCAGACGATAAAGAAAATGTATTTACAGATAATGAGGTAATGGTAGAAAGTGAAAAAAGTGTTGAAAATATTTTTTTAAATGAAGTAGAAAATTGGAAAGTTAAAAACAACGGTCTGATTGAAAGGCGCGGTAAATATTTAAGAAGTTGTCCAAATATTGAAAATTTACATTTAAAAAAAAGTCATTGAAACCGTTAACCGTATTAGCACTCCTCATTCATACAACGAATAATAATTTCTTCTGAATCAAGTTCAATTGTAATGAAATTTTTTTTATGATATTCAGGACACTGAGGACTCTAAGGACACTAAGGACACTGACCTAACGGCGCCGCCCGAAGGATTGATAGGCGAATTTGAGGAGCACCAGAGGAGCGCGTTGTCTTGGTTGATCTGGAGAGAAACTCAGAAACCTCCCGGTGGTAAGGGTCGTGTTCATAGACCTATAAAGTATGGACGCGGCTTTATCGGTATTTTGAGTTTATTCAGCGTTCCCAATGATAGACAGAGAAGTCCGTGAGAGATGGAGCTAGTTTGGGCTAAAAGTAGGCGGGACCAAAAAAATATATAAAATATATACAGGGTGTGTGGAAAAAGGCGATTAATCTGTTAAATTATTTATACGCTTAATATTTAAATATTGTTTTTATCTTGGTATCCACTTGGACAGATGAATGACCTGGAAGAAACATATTTTTTACAAGAGAAAGCAGCTAGGTCTTAAATTGCGAAATCTGTACTGGCTAATAGCTAGGAGGTTCCAAGTAACAATACAAAATAAGAACTGTATTTGCCAATGCGTGGGAATTTAGGCTCAGCTGAAAAATGCATTTTGCTCGGTAAAAAAAAATAAATCCTCAACCCTATTCTACTATAAGCTACCCTCCTCTACCCCAGCTACCATGTATTTCTGAAAACGTAACTCACGTGGTCTTTTGCTTTCTTACTATTGGCTAAAGCATTGTCCAATCTCTCATTGCCATATGCCCAAACTAGCTGCATCTCTCTCATTCATCGACAACACTACCTCTTTGTCTACGAGCCCTAACAACTAAATGTTCGGACAAACAGTAATTTATTGAAAACGTTAAATTATTAAATTGAAGAATTACATTAACAATATATTAAAATCTATTATTTATAATAAACATTTAAAAGGTTTGGTTCCTAAATACATTGAAATTCAGTGTGTTTGAATAAATAAACCAAAATTATGCAAAATATCGTGACAACTAAATGTTCGGAAAATTTACAGAATTATTATTTTAATATGGCGTTACATCGCCACGCGCTTTTATAACCGCTGCAATCCTATCTGGCATTGTTTTTATTAACGCTTGACATAAATCAAGGTCAAAACTTTGCCATAATTCATCCAGTTTCTTCTTTAAATCGACAACGGTTCTTTGGGGATCATCACGCAATTTTTATTTCATTTTATGCCATAATGTCTCGATGACATTAAGGTCTGGACTATTCGAAGGTCATGCGAGGACATTAATGTTATTATCCCCAAACCATTTTTTAGTAGTTTTCGCAGTATGGCATGGAGCACCGTCCTGTTGGAATATAAAATTCATGTCCGGGTAAAGAGCTTTTGCGCTTGGCACAAGACTATTTTTTTAAATTTCCTGATATTTTGCCGCATTAATTGTGCCTTCTACCACTTCATACCTTCCTAGACCCAGTGCGGACATGCACCCCCAAATCATGATGCCTTTAGGAAATTTTACTGTCCTTTTAAGGCAATCTTTATGAAATGCTTCATTTTTGGTTCTAATAACCCGTTTACGAAAGTCTCCCACACACACGTCAAACTTCGCCTCGTTACTAAATATGACTTTGGACCAAATAAACCGATTTTTTTCTGTTTTTCTGTTAGTAGAGGTTTTTCTTTCGCCTAAAGCATTACGAATAATAAAAAATCACGATTTAATAAAATCTTTTAAACCGACCTTATAAAAACTAAGTCCTGATTTGTGTATCCACTTTCTACAGCACTCTCTCGATAAAGTCTTTCCTGTTTCTGCATTCCACTCTGATGTAATAGCCCTTAAAGTGTTGCGACGACCCCGTTTGCAAATTTTTACCAGTATTCTTCGATCCCTATCAGACACACTTCTCGGTCTTCCCGAATTTTTGCCTTTAGTTTGGAGACTTCCACTCTCACGATAGTGCTTAAGTATGTCCTCAACTGTCGACTTAGCCAAATCTAATTCATCCGCTATTTCGCGTATTTTTTTACTGACAATATTTTTTTTATTATCAATTGACGAATTTTTACATTTGTCGCACTTCCTCTGGCCATTTTGGACTAAATTTATCGGAATTTTTTGCAACACTATTTCTAACTAGTAACTGTCAATTAATTACCAACTTAAAATAAGTAAACAACAAAGTTATGTATTTTATACACGGTAACTAGATAAATCCGAACATTTAGTTGTCACGATATTTTGCATAATTTTTGTTTATTTATTCGCACACAGTGAATTTCAATGTATTTAGAAACCAAACCATTTAAATGTTTATTATAAATGATAGATTTTATTATATTGTTAATGTAGTTCTTCAATTTATTAATTTAGTTTGTGTAAGTTAACGTTTTCAATAAATTACTGTTTGTCCGAACATTTAGTTGTTAGGGCTCGTAAACCGCGTCCATAGTTAATAGGTCTATGGTCGTGTTCAAAAAATGGCTCATTAAACTCGATTAATTTTGACATACTACACTGTCTCGTAAATATTCCAGGCATCCTAGCTGATGATATGGGTCTAGGGAAAACCTTAACGATGATCTCGTTGATATTAAAGAGCAGAGAACTCGATCGAAACGATAACGATGGGAAAACTCGACGTTCTAGTAACAAAGACAAAGGCGGTACTCTTGTAGTGTGCCCGGCAAGTGTCCTATATCAATGGTCCGAAGAGCTGGTTCAAAGGACCGAAGATGGACTGTTATCGTTCAATTTACACCACGGCCCCAAAAGGGAAACTAATGCCAAAACGCTCGCCGAATACGACGTGGTTTTCACTACGTACAATCTGGTGAGCGGCGAATTTGAGAAGAAAGGACCCCTGTTTAATGTGGAATGGTTGAGGATAATCATCGACGAGGCTCATGAAATTCGGAATTACAAATCCAAAACGAGCAACGCCGTTTGCGAATTGCATTCGAAATTTCGATGGGCCGTGACGGGTACTCCTATAAACAACAAGGAATCTGATATGTACGCGCTATTGAAATTCTTAAGATATAGCCCGTTCGATGATTTGACCGTTTGGGAGAGATCGATCGGCGACAAGTCGGAAGGAGGCTACGAACGATTGCGTACGGTAAATAGTTTTTTTTTTTTATCTTCGTGCTTCTTTCCAAACCTTTTTATCTCGTCCTTAACCATTGGAATGTCAAGGTTCTTATGTATGTCTCTGGCAGTTTAATATACAGGGTGGCACATTAGTAAGCTCAATATATCTGTTATTGTAGAAGATATCAAAAAAAGTCATTACAAAAGTTGTAGATCTTTTTAAACTGTACGTTTTAAAATTAGTTACATTCATACAGAGTGTTCCGTTTTTCCGTAGTAGATCAAACTTATACTTTTTTAAATGGGACACCCTGTTTTTTATTTAAAAATTGAATTTAGCTCGTTTTCAGCTTTCCAAAAATATAATTTTGTGTAACCTTATACTGAGTGGTTTAAAAGTTATGATCACTTTTCCACGAAAATCGTACTTAAAAAAATTAGAACTTAAAATTGAAGAAAAAAAATGAAGCTTTCTGAGATGGTTTTTTTTAATTGGAATATCTCGAAAAGTGTTAACTTTAGGTATAGGGAATGGTTATTAAGAATAAAAATACTTCAAAAATATTTCCTGTTAACCATATAAAATATAGGACGATCCATTTAAATTAACAGAGAAAATGTTACTTTTGCGTTTGGATCCACCCTGTAAGCAGTATGATTAAAATTAACAAAAAATATTCATTTTGTACATTTTCTTTCAGAATATTTGCAATGTTGTAAAACGTGAAATTTATTTTCAATTTAATCCATTTAATTTCTACAGAGTGGTAAACTTCTCAGAAACGGGGACAGTTAGGTATAGGGAAATGTTATAAAAAAGATTCAGTAAGAAATAGACTTCCCATTGGATATTATTAATATAGGGTGTTCCATTTAAATTAAGCGAGTAATTATTATGTTTGCGTTTTGACTCACCCTGTATACAAATTGCAATTTTGTCAAAATATACCTAATTTTTGTGAAAATAGACCATTTTCAAAAAGTGCTGACACAGAAAAACTTACATTATCTGATAGAGATTCTGATGTACAGGGCCTTGAAATCATGTCGATTTGAACATAAAAATGGCTATAACTTTTTAAATACTCAGTATAGTCATATGAAATCTTATATTGAGAAACTCGTGAAAACGGAGCAAAATCGAATATGAAATAAAAAATGTATCATTGCCTTTAAAAAAAGGTATGTTTGGTACGGCTTAGATTTATGGGCCACCCTGTATATTTCGAAATAATTTTAAATTGTGCCCCTAAAGGTACTTAACATTTTTCCTATTTATCATTTTTTCGTGTCTATTATAATAACTGAGTAAATGGGCTTTACCGCACTATTGGGACACCCTGTATGTATGCCATTGCTATTTGGCTTCATTCATAGTTTTTGTTAGTTCCCTATAATCAGTTGCATTGCTAACGTTTATTATTCATTAGGGTGGCATTAAAGATTTTTTTCCTTCGGCGCTTCTGGTTTGCTGTACCACGTACTATTCTCCTTTGGGCTTTCCCTGAATTGCTCTGGTGACGATTGAGATTTACGATTTTTGTTTTTTGGCAGTAGCCATGCACTTTCACGGTTAATTATACTTCATCCATCCAAGCTATGGAGTAACTAAAACAAGTTTAGACGCTGGATCAACGCGTCATCATCAGTGATTGGTCAGCGTAAGGAGGCTTTTTTTATTTTACCCAATAGATGCGAATGTGCTTCATGATCACGCGTTTAACCTTGTTGTGGTTACTCCGTTGGTTCTATGGATGAAGTATAGATCCTCTTCTTCGTCAGAGTTGGCCAGGCTATATGTAAACCTTGCATTTCTGCAAACGTAACTCACGTGGTCTTTTGCTTTCTTACTATTGGCTAATGCATTGTCCAATCTCTCATTGCCATATGCCCAAACTAGCTGCATCTCTCTAATTCATCGACAACACTACCTCTTTCCCAGATAACAATTTAAGCTTGTAGCAAGCTTGCGTTACCTTGTCACGACACGGTTTGTACCCTTGTTGCAACCCAGGGTGTAAGGTTATTAAAAAGGTTTTGACAACCTTCCTAGTCAACATGTTAGAGGCTTGCTTTAAGGTTGTCATGACAAGGTTACTACGAAAAAAGCTGGCCACAGCCCTATTAAAGGTAGCGACAAGCTTATGAAAAGGTTGCATAAATATTATTACTAAAAGCTCAGTAAGGCAAGATTATGAAAAGGTTATGACAAGCTTGTGAAAAGGTTAAAACAATGTTAAAGAAACGCTACGACAAGCTTTTTTCAAGGTTTTTGAAAAATGCTTATGACAAGCTTCTGAAAACATTACGACAAGCTTATGGAAAGGCATAAAATAAATGAAAAAAAAAATGCAAATATTATATAATTGACATTTATTTTAATAAAATATGTATACAAATATAATCACTGTGTCCCGGATATGGATGAACAGCCATAACAAACATATTTTTGACGGGCCTCCCTGTAAAAAAAAAATTAATGTGCCTATAATAATAAAAAAAAATTAATATACTCACTATTATAGTCCATTTGTTTAAAAATGAAATTGAAAAAATACTAAAATGTCGTTTCATAATCCCAACAAACATTTTTCAATTTGTGAATTGTCAGGCAAACCCGGGCGAACCCATCAAATGTGACCATGTGTTTTCAGTATTTCTTGGTACTCCGCTATTCTTTAGAATTTATGAGGGCATTGTGAAATTTTTAAAGTGTTCGAAAAGCTGTAATAAATAGTTTGAGTAAAATAATTGTAAAAAAACTTAACAGTTTATTTGTAAATTGCAAGTCTAAAAAACCGACGAGTCGAGCGAAGTTGTTTGGCTAAACATTGATCTAATTTGATTCTTCATCGTAAATTTAATCGAATAAATTAATGATAATGCTCAGCAATGCAAGGCACAAAAATTAGAAACCCAACCCAACCAACCCCCTACCCTTTACATCGAGTAGCGATTAGACAAAATAAAACTTCATAGGAAATTCTCGGATTGAATACAAAATGTCTTAAAATAATTAAAAAAAATATTTTTCACTTTTTGTAGTATGTAGGTACTTCAAATGTATGCCTTTTCATAGATGTATGTTGTGTAGTGTAACCTTTCCACAAGCTTATTAGTTTTACTTTTTCCCATGATTTTTGCATATTGCAAAATTAGCTATAAACCTTTTAGTATAATTTATAAGTAAACTTTAAAATAATCTTACATATAAACCTTATAAAAACGTGGTAACCGCAAGCCTATTTTAAGCAATAACCTTGCAATAACATTATTAAAAGCTTCTCATGTAAAGCTTGTCACGATGAGAAAATGACAATTTTATAAAGTTGTCAGAACAACCTTGCAATAATATTATTAAAAAAGCTTGTCACGAAAACCTTATTCCGACAATGCTATGACTCACTCTTGTTTTTTGCTTATTTGGACCAGACTGTTTTTCTTAAACATCACTTTTCCACGGTAATTGTTTATACACACGGTTGCGCAAGGACACTCGCAGTATGACCTTGCTCGATTACAACGATTATTTTTCAGGAAATTATACCCTCCATTATGTTGCGAAGAACGAAAGAGGAATTATCGAATATGAAACCTTTGAAGTGCGAAATATTTGAGTTTCCTCTAGACGCTGAAGAACACGAAATTTACAATAAAATCCACTCCAAAACGTTTGCCCAATTTCTCTCCCAGCAGGCCGAGAAGTTAGGCTTAGTTAGGGATCTCAGATTAAGACAGATTTGCAACCATCCTTCGTTGATAATTAATATGTTGAACGAATTACAAAAGTAAGTAACATATACAGAGTTGGGCAAAAGTCCGGAATAAAATTATTATCTTTTGAACCAGTAATTTAAACAAAAAACGCCGAAACACGTAAATTGATTTTATATTGTACGGATTTGTTGCCAATAAAATGATTTTTTCTTTAACCCCTTAGTTGCAAACCTACCCAACTTTTTTTTCAAATGCAAAGGTATGTCGTGTACAGGGTCATTGAAAAGTTCGCGAAAAATGGAATCTAAAACATACTTTTTTTTTATTTTTCTCATGCTGTTATTTGGAAATGAGCAAAAATTTCTTTTAAAAACAAAAAAGTTACAAATACTTTTTTTGTGCTATCGACGTAGCAATGTTGAAAATGCCCTTCACCATCTATTTAACAGGCTCCCAGGCATTGGTAAAACGTAATATCGATAGCATATCTTTAATTCTGAAGGACTTTTTAATAAAAACAGGCGAACCTTTGGTAAAAAAAAACTTGTACAAAAATGCAACACCTATTTTCCTTTTTGAAGTTCACTGATCAACAATGGCTTAGATTTAAACCCATTTTATGTTTTTGTTTTTTCTTAAAACATAAATTTCAACGAATGTTGATGCTAAATTGCCTTATCAGTTTTAAACGGTAAATCAATAAAATTTGGTGTGCTGCCTGACCAGGCTCGCCTGCTTTTAATAAAAGTTCATTCAGAATTAAAGATAGGCTACCGATATTAGGTTTTACCATTGCCTTGGAGCCTGTTAAGTAGAGTAAGCCTTAATTCACACGTCGATACCACTAAAAAAGTATTTGTAACATATTTGTTTTTAAAAGAATTTTTTGCTCATTTCCAAATAACAGCATGAGAAAAATAAAAAAAAAGGTATGTTTTAGATTCCATTTTTCACGGGCTTTTCAATGACCCTACACACGGCATACCTTTGCATTTGAAAAGATAAAGTTGGGTAGGGTTGCAACTAAGGGGTTAAAGAAAAAAAAATCATTTTATTGGCAACAAATCCGTCCAATATAAAATCAATTTACGTGTTTCAGCGTTTTTTGTTTAAATTACTGGTTTAACAGATAATAATTTTATTCCGGACTTTTGCCCAACCCTGTATAATATAAGCTTATACATACATGCAATATATACAGTGCATTTCTTTTTGAACGGATCAACTTAGAAAATTGAAATTTGGAAACTAATGCATGATTACTATATTTTGGAGTAAAATTGACAAATGAATATTTCAAGATGACGACTGGGCGCCATCTTGGGAAATAAATTTAAATGGAAAGGGGGGTCTTGTGATACATCATTTTCAAGCTCCTGACAAATATTGTACAAAGCTGGAATATAAAGTCAATATCTGCACCTGCTACAAAATGGCGGACATTTAATAATTACCTGAATACATCGACGTTTAACGTCATAATTTGAGGAAATAAGCTGAGTTCAGTTCAAAAAATGCTCGAAATGGTTGCCTTGAACTTCTTGATGTAAGAACAGCCTAACCGAACATTTTAGAACATAGTAACGTCGATATTTCTACAAATATCTGTAATTATTTCTCGTATATCCAATATTGAAGCAGGTTTAGTTTCATACAAATTTTGCTTCAAATAGCCCCATAAAAAAAGTCTAAAGGTGTCAAATCTGTCGAGCATCAGGCTGGCCATTCCGTAGGACCTCGACGACCAATCCAACAACCATGGGAAAATAGCATCCAAATAATTCCTTACTTGTCTGGAGTAATGTGGTGGTGCTCCCATCTTCCAATGGACGAGAATTGGCGAATGAGAACTACAATGAGAACTAAACAACCGAAAACTAAATGAAAATATTTTGAACACTAGGAAAACCAAAAACTAAATGAGCATATTTTGACTAAACAATTAATGTTCGTTGTCGTACTTCAATTTTTTGCAATTTTTTTAACCAAAAATAACCTGTCAAACCTTATCGGTTTGCTGGGATTGCTATTTTCCATAGAAAACAAATATTTCTAGAAAAATTGATATTAATTTGTTTGTATTCATGTAATTATTAAATGTTCCGCCATTTTGTAATGGGTGCAGATATTGACTTTATATTCCAGGGTTGTAGAGTATTTGTCAGGAGCTTCAAAATGATGTTTCACAAGACCCCCCTTTCCATTTAAATTTATTTCCCAAGATGGCGCCCAGTCGTCATCTTGAAATTTTTATTTGTCAATTTTACTCCAAAATATAGTAATCATGCATTAGTTTTATTATCCCAAATTTCAATTTTCTAAGTTGATCCGTTCAAAAAATAAAAGAAAGGGGGACATTAAAGAAATGCACTGTATATAGGTAGAACCGAGTTGGGATGCGAGATGTTTAAATCATGAATGGGCGTACAGAGGTACATAGGGGCACGTAAAAAAAATCGCTGGTTACGAAAATCGACCTCTTTTCGCTGGCTAAATTCGTTTTTTGCCGTAAATCGAATATAAAAATGTAAAATTTTTGACAGATTTCGAAAGAAATTATTTGATGGCCGTTGCCCGTTCGTTTGGTTTAAACGGAACTAACACCGAAATGACAGATTTTTCGTTATTTTGACAATTTCGTCGATTTTAATGGACGAGAATAAAAGAAATTGCAATAATTCGCAAAAATATACGTTTCTTGGTCATTTGTACTTACCAAAAACGGAGAAACGATCAAATTATTTTTAAAAAACCTACACTAATGACAGCAGCGATGAACAAACTTCAAACTGTCAAAGTTGTCATTTCCGTTACTACGGGATACGTTGACATTTAATTTGATGTACAGGGTGTTTTTTCATTAAGGAAATCGGAAAAATTGATATACGGGGTGTTTTTTTTTCTAAAGCGAACAATTATTTAAATTTTAATTATAATATAGTACAGGGTGACTTGTATTTGTAATTACATAAACCGAGCGAGCGAAGCGAGCGAGGATCCGGCTTTATAACTGTCTTTGCGTAGAACGCCGATAGGCGTTCGAGCTGCGGGTTAGTGCGGCAGAGCCCATTGATATTTACAGCGATATAGTCGAGCTCGCGCAGCGAGCGAGACCTTGGTTATTTAAAAAATTGATATACGGAGTGTGATTAATTTCCAAACGAAAATTCAATCGCACCGAGCTCGCGAAGCTAACGAGGATCCGGCTAGGAAACTGACTTGCGGCGAAGCCGTCACCGTAAAAAAGGGGGGTTGAAAGGGGGCGCAGCCCCCTTTCCGAGCGTTTAGCGAGTCTATTTTAATAAATTCGGAGGTATTTGATTAATCATTTTTTAGTTTGTCAATATCGGATGATCAGAATCGAAACGATTCGCGCGAAGATATCAATCGAGGTTCGAAAGAGGCCGCCAGTCAAACGGAGCCAATGAGTTCCAAAATGAAGAAGTTATTCAAACTTTTAAAACTTTTAAACAAAGATGATAAAGCAGTGATCGTGTCCCAATGGCCGAGTTTCCTGCATTTAATAGGTCGTCATTTGAAGGATCCTGAAGTGAATATACCGTTCTGTCAGTTAGATGGAAAAGTACCTGTAGCTGAACGACAGGATATCATTGATCAGTAAGTGGATTATTTATAACATTTTTTTTATTTATTAATTAATTTATTCATCAGTTAAAATTAAAATATAGGAATACTCCTCGGGGGGACAGTACTCCCTGTACGAGGAACTGGATACAAAAAAGAAAACCAATAAAATTAAAATTAACTCACACATAAACTATAATTCATAAATTTAAATAACTAAATAATCCCTTTAAATAATATTAACTAAATAAAATTAATACCAAAACAATCAATATACAAATTCACAAGTTCAATACAAGAAATCAAAATTAGAATTCGCTTTTAACCCACTTTTTTAACCTTTTCCTAATATTACATTTCCCCATTTCCAAAGCTTTGAGTTCATTTGGCAACTTAAATAGTTTTATTGCCACACTATGTCTGTTTTCAACAAAGCATTATTCATTTTTTCAAAATTGCCATGTCTACTATCTTAACAATTGGGTTTTTTATTTCTTCCTTTTTAATAATACATGTATTCGATAATTTTTTATTCAATATTTTTTCCACTTCATTAGCACTTTGCTCGTTCAAACAAGTTATTATTTCATTTTTATTTTTACAGTGCATTTTTGGTTTTTCTCACTCTTTCTTTATTTAGATAATGTGCAACTTGTTTTTTTAAGTCAATTATACCATCTCTATTAGTTTTTTCTTATTATTATATCCGGAACTTTCTTTGGTTTAGGCTTTTCATTACTGACAATAATGAATATGAAGTTTTATGTTCACTTTTATTTTTTACTAATTCTTTTCAATGTTTGAAATTCATTCTTCGTAAAAGAAGCATTCTTTCAATCATTCTTGTCTTATTCTCTCCTTTTGCTTTGCCTTTATCTGCACTATTTATCGGCTATTTCACTTTAAAATTTTGATCCTTTTTTCTTCTCAAAGTCATTAATATAATAGACATCTTCACGTATTAAACACACGAATGTGGCTACTCTTTTGCGATATATGGCATTTATAAAATTTACCTTTTCCTCTACCATGCGGATGTTTCTCATCATCCGCCATCTTGTTGCTAATGATATTCCTTATTTTATAGGATTAACGACCCCAAAGGATCAACTAAGATCCTGTTATTGTCTTTAAAAGCTGGATACGTTGGTTTAAATTTAATGGGTGCAAATCACTTGTTTATTATGGAACCTCATTGGAACCCCCAAATGGAAATTCAGGCCGTTGCTAGAGTGTATAGATTAGGCCAAAAGAAGCCTGTATTTATTTATAAACTCATAGCTAAGAAAACCATCGAAAAAAAAATTTTAGATACACAGAAAGAAAAAATTGATATTGCGGATAGCATGTTTATCAAGATTTCGCAAGTTTTGAAACAATTATTCCAAATGTGATTTGAATATTCTACTATTATTTTACTACTTATTATTTTATATACAGTGCATTTCTTTAATGTCCCCCCCCTTTTTTATTTTTTGAACGAATCAACTTGGAAAATTGAAATTTGGGATAATGAAACTAATGCATGATTACCATATACCTATTAGTACTATACTGCTAACTCCCTATCTATTCCATGAGAGAAAATCGTAGCGATTAAAGAGAGAGATCCGACCCTCCGTAGTGTGCTTAGTCGTTTATACGCAAGCGCGTTATTTTAAAAGTACCAATAGCGAGTAGCTGAGACCTAAAACGAAAAAAAGGAAAATAATACTTGAAATCGTGTTTAAATTCGGTAACCCGCCATATTTATACACGCAAGTCGAAGTCGATTTTAAAAATATATTAACAAAATTATCAAATAATGAAATAATTTTTGTAATCACTTTCAAATCATTTTAAAATTATTATCAAAAAATTAAAATAATTCAAAAAAATTGAATTAGGTATCTCCCTAAAATTTTATACTTGTTAATTTAAAAAAAATAAATTCTTTGACTTAAAATTTATTAAATTAATTGTGTTTGATCTTATTTTGCAAAATTAATATTTTTCGAAAAAATATAACAAATTTGAAATATTCGATAATTTTTTCAATGAGTGTTTACATATTTTTATTGTATATTGAATTTTTACTAAATTAAACCAAACGGAACTTACTTTCTGGACGTACCTATATTTATAATTTTCAAGAAAATAAAACTGAGATAAAATATTTACATTTTATTGGTTACAAAATAAAATTAATTTAGTGTACTTATTTTTAATGTATGTATCTTTGACCGATGCTAATTTAGCTACGTGATGTAGCCTAATTTTGAGAAAAACATCAATAATTGCTTTTATTAATTGTTGTACATGGTTTTCCAGCGGATCCTGCTCAATTATGTGTTCTTTTATTTCTTTATAATTAAAAACTTTTTTAAAACTTAAACTAAATATTTTTGTGGCCAAGATTAAATTTATATTTTTTTTATTATAATTTGTTGTCTGTCTAATGACTCTCTCACCTATTTTACATATATATGTGCAGTCTTCTGCGGGATAAGAAAGTTTATTATTTTTGTTTTTTATCCCTATTAAAATAATGTTTTTTGTCTGAAAACAATTGTTCTTTACAAAAATCACAAGTGATACATTTGCTTAGTTTATTTGCGATATATCCACTGATGTATCCAACAACGTCTTCTATATAAGAATTTAATTCCCACATTGTGGTTATTTAATCGTGGTCGAATACATCGGCAGTTACATTGTCTTCTATTATTGTATTATTACACAATCGTTTTGAACTTACGTCTAGTATATCTATTCCATCCGCCAAACAATTTGAATTTGTAAAAAAAGTTTCATTTTTGATTAATAGTCTTTTGAAAGCACTTTCAAATTACACACAATAAAAATCACTTAAATAGACGATATGCACAACGGTAAAAAATAAAAATGGCTTCCACTCTCCAATTTCCACCTAAATGAAAGCTAGCACGTTTCATTTGCTCTGTCAAAAGTAGCCAATCAAGAAATCTTTCACTTGAGCATGCGCATAAATAAGCAGGCACACCACAGTATAATGTTTGTTACGGGTTTTAGACCGTAGTAAGCGGTATAGTACTAATAGGTATATGATGATTACTATATTTTGGAGTAAAATTGACAGATGAAAATTTCAAGATGGCGACTGGGCGCTATCTTGGGAAATAAATTTAAATGGAAAGGGGGGATCTTGTGATACATCATTTTGAAGCTCCTGACAAATACTCTACAACCCTGGAATATAAAGTCAATATTTGCACGTGCTACAAAATGGCGGAACATTTAATAATTACCTGAATACAAACAAATTAATATCAATTTTTCTAGAAATATTTGTTTTTCTATGCCAAATAGCAATCCCAACAAACCGATAAGGTTTGACAGGTTATTTTTGGTTAAAAAAAATTCCAAAAAATTTTAGTACGTCAACGAACATTAATTGTTTAGTCAAAATATTCTCATTTAGTTTTTGGTTTTCCTAGTGTTCATAATATTCTCTTTAGTTTTCGATTTTCCTGGTGTTCAAAATATTTTCATTTAGTTTTCGGTTGTTTAGTTCTCATTGTAGTTAGGTACCGATATGGATAAGGATTCGATATGGATATTGTACTCCAACAAGATGGAGCACCACCACATTACTCCAGACAAGTAAGGAACTATTTGGATGCTATTCCCATGGTCGTTAGATTGATCGTCGAGGTCCTACGGAATGGCCAGCCCGCTCGCCAGATTTGACACCTTTAGACTTTTTTATGGGGCTATTTGAAGCAAAAAGCTTCAATATTGGATATACGAGAAATAATTACAGATATTTGTAGAAATATCGACGTTACTATGTTCAAAAATGTTCGGATAGGCTGTTCTTTTATCAAGAAGTTCAAGGCAACCATTACGAGCACTTTTTAAACTGAACTCAGCTTATTTCCTCAAATTATGACGTTAAACGTCGATGTATTCAGATAATTAATAAATGTCTGCCATTTTGTAGCACGTGCAAATATTGACTTTATATTCCAGGGTTGTAGAGTATTTGTCAGGAGCTTCAAAATGATGTATCACAAGACCCCCCTTTCCATTTAAATGTATTTCACAATATGGCGCCCAGTCGCCATCTTGAAATTTTCATGTGTCAATTTTACTCCAAAATATAGTAATCATGCATTAGTTTCATTATCCCAAATTTCAATTTTCTAAGTTGATCCGTTCAAAAAATAAAAAGGATGGGGGACATTAAAGAAATGCACTGTACGTTCTATATTTTTACTATACAATATTTTTCTATACAATTCGAAGAAGTGAGGTTAAGTGTGCTATTAAAATAAATACCGACAATGAGATAGTTGTAGTGCTCCCACGCATTTAAACGAAGAACGTGAAGAACGACTCTTCGCATCAGAGATGAGAGTTAACATAACCTTAAATTAAATATATCTGTCACATCAAGATTTTCATTTCAACCCGGGAACGTTGCAACAGGTTGGCTTGTGACGTCATTGCCTAGCGAGTGCGAATGTCCTTTACGTAGTTAAATCAACTCTTACCAAACAGTCACCACCACAAATCTTATGAATGCAGTTTCGAAATTGAATATCGTCTTTACGACTTTAGGAACACCAATTATGCTGACTTTATTATCTTTTTGCTTTCGTCGACTGTCAATTGGTGCTAAATAAGTTGGACATTACTTAATTGAACAGCAATAGTGCTGTTTTATTACTTTCTCTGAATATGACCATTGACTGTTATATACCGTATGTCCGAATTATTCCGCTGCAAACATTAGAATTAGAATCTCAATCAATACTATAACTTAGTAAAGAACAGAAACTTGTTTATCGGTTGCCGGCCGATATTAGAATTCGTCAATTCGCTTCGCTTCGTCCACTAGCGAATAGCGGGGATAGCGGGCGTGATTATTTTGTATGCTCTCTTTATTCCTTACATAGCAAAAGTTCAATAAGCTATCTCATTATTCTCATTGTATGCTTGCAGCGGATCAATTCGTACACCCTGTAGACTGTTTCACAGTCTGTTCAACATTCGATTTCACCGCATAAATTATGGAGCATGTTCATCGCTGAACAGATATTTAAAGTTATTCAATAAAGTTAATCAAGTAACTTCGGTTGGTATTTATATTTTTCATTTGGTAGTTGGTGTTAATTTTTTCATTTGACAATTTTTTGATATGTTAACTTGATTTCTTAACTTCATTTCTTATATTTTTTGTTATTGTAATAAATATTTTATTTTGTTAATGGGAAACTAACTACTAACCACAAATAAATAAATAAATTTTTATATTTTTGATTAAATAATTTTTAATATTGTATTATATAATTGTTGTATAATTATACGGGGTGTCCCTGAAAGTGTGTGAAATCTCTCGGATCCATATAGAACATCCAAAAAATAAAATGAGAAGTTCCTACAAAGTTTTTCCCTACAAGCCTTCTGTTGTATCCCAAATATCGAAGAAAAGGTTAGTCTAATCACACGCTTATATTCCATTTACTTAGTTTAATAACAAGAAGGTAGATACAATCTATTACTAAAAATATGCATCATAATGTCTGGCTATCGTGTGTGTCAACTGTCATTGCCCAGTGCTGACAACTTGACACAACACCTTCACTACGATGATATCGTTCCTAAAGGACGCCGCTGGAAATAGGTTTTCCTCTAATATCTTTTAAAGCCTCTACTTGATATAATTTAACAAAAATCTGATGATAAAATGATGGAAAATGGATCTGAAATTATGATGGACACTATTAAAAAACCTCACAAAATAGTGTCTTTGAAACATATTTAGCTTTTTTAGTTTACCAGTGCTGGGCTAAGGTTTACAACTTAATGCCTAAATGTAGGTAGGAAATTATACCGATTAGTACATATTTATATTTTGTAATCGGAATACGTGTAAATTTTAATATATCATTAAAATAAAAGTGAATCATCAAAATTGACCATCAAAATTGATCACCAGAATTGATCATCAAAATGTATTGTTTCAAGTTAAAGTGAGGCGCTGAATACGGGCCAATGTCCTTGGGTTAAATAGATTTTTGTGATTATACTTTGATGATTTATTTGATTGTTTTAGTTCTTAGTGTTCTTTTCAGTTTAGTAAGTTTTTATGTTAGTGATATTCTGGAACAATTAATTGCAAAATTGGCAATACCACACGCGTTCAATGGGATTATTAATAAAAAATTACTATGAACTTACTATTTTTCCTCACTATTTTTGAACAACAAAATAGGCGAGCTAATATTTCTTTCGAGTTTAAAATTTATTTTCTTTTATTGCTTGAAAATCCGGGTTTATTTTTATAATTTATCCATGATTTTAAAAATTTTGAGATCATATGAAATAAATAAGTAATAAACAAATTCGAATAAGATATTACTCTTAATTTATAAATAATTATTTTTTCGATTCTAACCTATGATGAGCGCGATCTATGGCGCGGTCGAGGGATTTCAACCGATCTAAAGGACTGCATTTCTTTGAAATAAACTAGGCGGCTTAAGTTAGGTATAATGGCCCGTATTCAGCACATTACATTAACCTTAGCGTGTCTCTAAAGTCGCGTCTCTAGTCCTTAGTTACTCCATAACAACAATGTAAAACTGTCAAGTTAAAGACGCGACTTTAGAGTCACTCTAAAGTTAAAGTGAGGCGCTGAATACGGGCCATTGTCAATAAATTATAAACGGCTTAAAAATTTATTATTATTTATTTTTAAAATTTAGAGTAATTAACAAAAAAACATTATTCCCTAGTAAAAGAGTATTAAAAAAAGATATATTCGTGGATAAATTATCATTAAAAAATAAAAATGTAATTTTACATTAACACATCGAGCCCTAACAAGTCGTATGTCCATCAATTATTGCTTGACATATGCGAGGCATAGTCTCTACTAAATTATTAGATGTTCTTGTGCAATTTCTTGCTACAAGCGTGGTAACAATTCCCGAAGTTGCTGAAGAGTCTTCGGAGCTGGTACGTGGTTTCGAAGTCTTCTTTGTAGCATGTCCCAAGCATGCTCTATGGGATTGAGGTCTGGAAAGTATGGTGGTAAACATGCTGATAGTACTTGGGAACAGAGAATTTCCTGATATAACACCTTCCCCCTGAGATTCAAGTCCCGAAGTTACTGAGGGAGTTAAACGTTCGATAATTCGGTGGTTTGGCTATGATTTGGAGCCTTCTTCTTCTTGGCCAAAATTTTCTTGTGGACTATGAAACAGATGAGGAGGATGCTGACCCCGTAGATGATGATCGTCCAGATACTGGGTGTTCTTGATGGTATTGATGGTTCCAAACGGGTTGGTTATTGAATAGTTCGTTTTGGATTTCTTAAAGCTCATCGAAGTCTATATTTTCGAATTCGATGTCGAACTTTTCGGGTTGTCGGGTTGTTCCTCGAGATTTGGAAGTGGTATATTCGGAAACAAAATTGTTTGGCTGGGATCGATGACGAGTTTCTCGTTGATGATATTTTTGAAGTTGGTTTCGACCTGGCATCCCAATGGAATTTCGAATAGGTATGTACCCCGCAATTTCAGGATTTCTTCTTGTTGTCGGCAATGAATTTTAGTGGTGGTTTCATTGGGTAAGACCATTATCCATTGGTTTGAATTTTCCAATATCCAACACGTAGGGCGTCTAATAGGGACGGTTATTTGATGGCAAGTTGTTGTATCTCTTTGCTTAAGAATGGGTATTGAATACAAATGATATAGGTCTACTATGAATGGATAGGTATTGGATAATTATTAGATATTGGGTATTGGATAGGTATTGGATAATTGGAATTTGCAATATAAAGTTGATTTTATTTTTGGACGAGTAACTTTTAATTTTTACTAAATTTTTTAGGAAAAAAATTATTTAAATTTACATCTAAGGGTAACTTATTTTTTCCTAATCTACTTTCTATAAGCTTTAACTCATGAAGGAAATAACTACTCTTCATGATGCTAGGGTGCATTTTACTCAACTTTGAGAACACAATTGCATTTTCTATGTCTTGGATTATCGAATATATGATATTATTGATATTATATGATATGATATTATATGATATTATATTATATTCATTCCGATAATCTGAATGAAAGCATCTTTGATAACGGCAGAATTTTCGCGGTAGACCTGACCTTGTACAATTACTTCGATTTGTTTTAATTTTGATTGCAATAATTTTTCGTTATGAGAAACTTTAGTAATTGTCGCATTGAACTGATCGATCAAACGTGTTGAGAAGGAATTTTGATTTTTAATGCTATTTGCCAATTTTTCTTGATTGGTTTGAAGTTCTTGAATTAATTTATCGTAGCGTTCGCCGTTGCTGGCGTCTAAATTTCCTGATATGGCATTAAAAACAGATCCTAAACCATTTATGATACCGCGTCGAATTCTGGTAGGGTGCGGGACAAAGTCCTTACTAAAGTTGATGAATGTATTCTCAATTGATTAAATTCGTTAATAATAGGTTGGACATCGTAATAGTAAATGATTTTGTAATAAAAGTCCGAAATTCTTGCCTGACCGGATTTTACAGGAATAAGACCGGGATTATTTTCTAAATTCCTTATGTCTACACGTTCTAGAATACCGAGGACTCCGGGTAAACTGAAAACAATTGGTTAAAGTTAGTTTTTCGAAAGCAAGGTTTTTGAAGTGGACGTTTTATGTTGTCTACGTGAATTTTGGTTGGGTGTTAGTTGAAACGGTTTTGGTTTTTTGACTTTTTCTCTTTTAAATTTGGTAGATTTATTAATTTTGTTAGATGTTGCGATTTTTGTATAAAACGTCGAGATCACAATTTGATGGCATTTTAAATTTCCAACGATGCTTGATTTTATTGGTAAAGGTTAACGAGTCGCTTAGGTTGCAGAACATATCGGAGGGTTTTACTATCACTAGGAATTACAGGCTTTCCTTTATTAATTAAGTGATCTTTCTTAATTTTATTTAAGTCTTGATTTTGGGAGGAATAGTGGTAAATGTTATTTAGATTTCTGTTTTTTATTTCCTGAGTTTCGAGTTTCTCAACTTTTACAGGTTTTACTTCTTCAGGTTTCTCTACTTCTAGTGGCTTAGTTGTGGGGTTTGAAATGGTTGTTAGAGATTCCTCGTTTTTGGCTATGGCGATATTTTCGGGTATTTCAGAATTTTGGTCCTTCGTGTAAGGCATGACAGTTTTTGTCTTAATTGCTTGTTGGATTTTTGTAGAAGCAGAAGCTGCAGTTATTGCATTTAATTCCTTTTGGCTTTTATGAAATAATAGTTTTAATTTTGTGAATGGGGTTATGAAATAAAAATTTTTAAATAAAATTTTTTATTCACTACAAAAACTGAAAGTTACAAATTATAAATTTTACGATTTAGACAACTCGAAATCTAATCATGAACTGACTGGAAAAAATACAATGTTAGAAATAGCAAAACAAGTGTTCTGACAGCGTTAACAAGAATTTGGAAATACGATCTGCTGATACTGCTTGGGAACGGTGGATCTCCCGGTATAACATTCTGATAGTACTTGGGAACAGAGAATTTCCTGATATAACACGCGTTAAAGTTAATGTAAGGCGCTGAATACGGGTTAAATATGTTTGAGATGTAATCTTTAGTGAAAAGTACATACAGTGCACTCGAAAAGTAAGGTATAAGGTAAAAGGTATGTATGTATACTTAATTACCGACGAATCGTTACCGGCGAAACGTAGTCCTTATAATACAGTGGTTTACTGCATTTTTTCGTCCAGGTAATTTTGCAAACAAAATAATGTTTCCTTTCGCATTCAATGTCACTCCATTTATAATTCCATTTTTCCTTCCCGTTATTTGCTGCATTGATCGCCACGCATATTTGATTAAAGTCGCTCGGTTGATTAGGTCTCCAATTGGTATATGAAAATTGTTCACCATTGCTCAACCACATCCATGCGATATTTCCAGCCATTCTTGTTCCAGAAGTCCAGTAAAAGTCATCTTCTAAATGCCCACCTAAGTAAATAAGATTAATAAAATAGCATCATTAATATTAAATAAAAAATACAGAAATGAAAGCATTTTATAAGAATGTTCATGATAGTTATATTTTTTCAAAGAACGATATAATTAATAATAGTGGCAAAGATATAAATTCGAAAGGTAACAGAAATAGTACCTAATTGAATATTCTATCTATACATATACAGTTATGATTTCATGTTTAAAGTTTAACCAATTATATTTTTTGTGAGATTCTGAACACATCCTGAACACATCCAGAGACCAAACCGTATGCGCCAGCGCGTATACAGACAAGTGCAGGATATGTTGAGGATATAGTTTATATAAATTTTTATATTTTTTTTATTCTTTTTTAATACTACTTACCTATTTTACTGATTTGCTCGCTCAAAAAGTCATTTTCGTCTTTTGATTCGATGTGGAGCAATTCCATTTTGTTGGATTTGCAAAATTGAAAACTTTCAAGAAAATTGGCCTATAAAAAAAGAAAAAAAAATAATTTCATCGATTGATTTAAATATTAATTATAGACCTTAAAACTAGACTGGATGTAGTAGCTTTTATTTCCGTTATGGACGAGATTTAAATATGTTGCGTATTGACCTAAAAAATAATAGAATATTACTAGCACAATCGTAAAAATTTCATAATTCTTACCATTTTCATTTTGCGTAGAACAAAATACGTTAGAACAAAATAATGCAAAAATTGCACAAAAAAAATCTAATCTAAACCAAAACATCTTAAAAGTTCAAATCGCAACTGCAGGCTTAATAATACGCTCATATAACTTTTTATTGTATTTATATATGTAGATACATATTAAAAATAGGATAAACTGTAAGTTAATTTACACTTTTGATAAGAACAAAATTCCCAGTTTCTTAAATTAGCTAATATTTCAATCTGGTTTATACGGTTGTTTGTAAATAATCCATATATGCACTTTGACTACTTTCTGGTAAAAATTAGATTAAAAAATACGATACATTGAAAGTTAATTTACACTTTTGATAAGAACAAAATTCCCAGTAATTTAAATTAGCTAATACTTTGTAAATAATTATCAATAATAATCATTAGTAATAATCTGTGTTAAAAAACTTTTTATTTTATACAGGGTGCATACAAAACATGTGAAAAGTTGAACTTCAAAAATACCAAATTATTTAATTTTTTTAAATGGAACCACCCATTTTTTTCTATTTTACTGAAATCAGCGATAAAAAATAAGGAAAGTTCATGTTTACTTCCCTATACCTAAACCTAATAGGTTTGATGATATTAAAAATTTTACTTAAATCTTACTTTTCTGCCTTATTCTTAAATAACTCTGTTTTACAAGTTGGCCATGTAATATCTCACAAGTACCAAAATTAATAATCAATTAATTACAAACAATTTACATGGCCAACTTGTAAAACAGATTTATTTAAGAATAAGGCAGAAAAGTAAGATTTATGTAAAATGTTCAATATCTTCAAAACTATTAGGCTTCGGCTACGTTAACTAACTAATTCATTTGTCTAAAAAAGGATAGTTATAATGTAACTATTGAAACAAATAAAATAAATTTACTTGTATTTGCGGTTACATGGTTTCTACCATGGCAGCAACGATGAATACAAATCCCATCCAGCCCACATCTTGTTCGGCTCCCTGGATTAAATCATTTAATCAACATCAAAATTCCCACAAAAGGAAAACTTACCGGAAAATACTGCAAAAATAATTGACTCCAGAAAACAATTATCACGTTCGTTATGGAAAAATACTGTAAGCCAACAAATGGATACCGAAGCCCCTATTTGCCAACAATTTCAACGTGGATAAATAGGAGATTTTTTGGAACTTGCGAGATTGACTGATTAACCTCAGCGTAGCCTGTGCTTGATTAGGCGGGTATTTGGATTCATCCGGAAAGCCTGGAACATACACAATTATTATATACACCTTGAAATTTCCTGGATACATTTTAATATTACACTTACATACTAACTAGAAGCTAGAATTGCAACGGGCGCCATCAAAGCCGCTAAAATCCAACACAATATTTTCAAACCCTCGCCTATATCGTTTAAGTTATCAGAATCGTGTACTAGTGAAGTGGGTAAGATATACGCTAGTAGATATCCCATATCGTAACCGAATACTCCCAAGTAACAGGCAGTCGATACCTACATACAGCGTGTCTACTTAAGTTGGCAACATATGGGAAACTTTTTTATTATTAATTTTAGGAAAAAAAGTTATTCTTTATAAAAAGTTCTGCATGATCTGAATCCGTAGAAACAATCATCAAATATCAAATTTTTTTATTCGTATACGAGGTTTGTCAAAAAATCTGATTTTTATTCAAGAGTAAAGTACCGTTATTTTTGACACTTTCAAAAATTGTTATTAAAAAAAGATTATTAGAATTAAAAAATACTATACAATTACATTAATGTATAGGATTTTTTTAAATTTATATTTTTTTTATTTTTTGAAACATTTCTACCTTAACAACGAAATATTAACTGTAGTTATTGTACATGTAATCTAGGATGCTTTGATTAATGTTTGACATTAAACGTCAAAATATCAGTTGTATTTAGTGAAATTTGGTAGAAAGTGTTATAAAATTTAGTAGAAATGCCAGCAACATTAAGTACTGAACAGAAAATTGAAATTGTGTTAATTGTGGGTGAGAATTATAAAACTTATCGAGAAGCTGCAGAAATTTTTAATAACCGACACCCAGAGAAAAATATTCACTATGGCACAGTAAGCAAAATATTAAACAAATTTAAGACTTCTGGAGATGTAAAAAATAAATTTAGCAACAAACGCCAACAACGGAATGCCAATGATAACATGGGATTTGTAATAATGCTTTCAGCGATCGAACATCCAAAAAAATCCTTGCAACAAAGAGCAGCTTCAGTGCAAAATCTTATTAAAAAAGATACGGTTTCAAAAATTTTAAAAAAGAACAAGTTTAAACCATGCAAGAGCCGATTTATTCATACAGGAGACCAGGAGATTTGACGCTTTGAATTTTGTTTTAATATCCAAGGAATGTTACAAGATAACCCATTTATGGGAAGACATATTCTTTTTTCGGATGAAGCCACATTTACATCAAATGGAACAGTCTCTAGCCAAAACTGCCGTTGGTGGAGTGATACCAATCCAAATTATACCATCAAAACTTACAGAATTTACAAAAATAAAATAATTGGACCCTTTTTTTCCATAAGTCTTTGAATGCGAATCGTTATTTGCTTTTTTTAGAGAATGAATTAGACGATTTTCATGATAACCTACCCCTCCTTGAACGTCAACAAATATGGTTCCAACAGGATGGTGCCCCATGCCATACCCAGATAGCACAATCACCTTCCAAACTTATGATACGCAGATACTTTTGAGAATATTCACATGCTATGCATGTGCATTTTGAATATTCATTTTACATAAGTCATGTCCCATGTATGTATAAAGTATGGGGCAATGTCCCGTGAAAACTTAGGGCATACAAGTATTTTACACGTGCCACGGGATGAACTATTCACATAATCTGTATGTGCTTACGATAAGTATATGCTAGTCATATACTATGTACTTACTGAGATATGTAATATAGACATGATTTGTACATATTTATTAAAATAACATGAATAGCATGTAATAAATACCTACTAGGATATGTGGATGCTTATACTAGTAATGTTTGTGTCACATACTAAGTAAGTACCACAGTAAGTACTATTCATGCGAATCAAGTACTTTTTTTTCATATGTATAGTGAAGCATACGAGTCTATTGCATTTACTCCCTACTCCCTAATATAGTAGGTTAGATGTAAGGCAATACCTTGAAAATCGTTTTAATGGAAGAGTTATACATCGATTTTCTGACATTTTTTGGCCTCCTCGGTCTCCAGATTTGACGCCACTCGATTTTTTCTTGTGGGATTACCTGAAGGAAAAAGTGTATCTTCAGAGGCCATTTACAGATGTTGCTCATTTAGAAAGAATAATTACAGAATCGGTTCAGAGTATTACTCCGGCTATGGTTCGAAGGGTATTGAAAAACATTCGTGCTAGAACAATTACTTCTATTGAAAGAGAAGGCGGATATGTTGAGCAGTTAGTGAATTGAGGGAGCTAATAAATTTGTTAAATTATTAAAACAAAATGAATTATTATGATATTATTAATTTAATGCATCGCCGACATGCACCTACAGACATTGAAGTAATTGAAAGGTTATCAACTGTTCAATAAAAATAAGAGATTACTGTTTATTATTAATTATTGATAAAAGTTAAAAGATAATTCAAAAAACATGTATCACTTAATATGCAAACTTAGACATTACTTAAGTTTCTAAAGATTAAAAAATAAGTTGAGGTAGATGGATTTGATTACATTGTTCTTGAAATTATTTTTATTTTAATTGTGTATTCATTAGATGTGTAATAAATTTTGTTTTGTAAAAATTTGCTTATTTCATTCTGGACGGAATGAAACATTTATGTTTACAATCAGATTTTTTGACAAACCTCGTATACGAATAAAAAAATTTGATATTTGATGATTGTTTCTACGGTTTCAGATCATGCTGAACTTTTTATAAAGAATAACTTTTTTTTCCTAAAATTAATAATAAAAAAGTTTCCCATATGTTGCCAACTTAAGTAGACACGCTGTATACAAGGTGATCTTTATAATTCCGAACTCCGAAAAAGTATTTTTAAAAATTTTATTTAATTTAGTTAAGGAACAAAACTAATGGTCTTAATCGAAACAAGTCTATATTCAATCTGATTTTACAATATTTGAATTAAGGTGAATAAAATGCATATTGTCCACTCAGCAATTGATCGTACATCGAACGATGACCATATATGGAATTGTTGTAATTGGAATCGCTACGTCCGCTATAGCGCGTCACATAACTCCTCCATCCCCAGAAGAAACTCAAGGGGTGGAACCACTTGAGATTCGTTGATTTCTTGGACTTCTTGCTGTTGAACTGGTTTGGCTCGGAATACTTTGTAGATTTTCTCTCTGTTTGCAACTAGAATGTAAATTAATATTAAAATTATTAAGGTGGTGGACGATGCGATGGACCAATGTTGGATCCTTGGAATTTGGATTTCTTCTAATTCTGGTTCTTCTGATTCTTGGAGATGGATTTTGTGGAGTTCGTCTAGGTGAATTTTCTGGAGAAGTTTTTCTATCTTCTTTGTCGGAATTTCTATCTCTTCAATATCTTTTAGTGTCATTGGGTGGCCTAATATGGTGTGTTTTTCATTTTTGTAGAGGAATTTTGGAGAAGAAATTGAACAATCGTCGGGGACGGTGAAGAGGTAGGTGCCTTGTAAAACGGCTACGTCTTTTTCTTCACATTCTAGTCGGATCTTCTCGGGACTCGGGAAAATACCAATGTAATGACTATCGTTGATTTCTTCTATGATTTGGTTTGTAATTTTTGCTGGGATTTTGATGCAGTTTCTTGGTGCGCCGGAAGAGGAGAGTATGGAGGTGATGCAGTCGGCATTTTCTTTTATTGGCAGTAGTCGATTTTTGAGGCACAGATAACCGGGTTGTAGATCTAGGCATTCTTCGTTCTGGTATTGGTACTTCTCGTTGCTCATTAGAAGATAGGTAGAAGGAGGAATAATAATGGTTTGGTTTTTATTTGGGATGGCATATAAGTGATACAGGTCAAAGGTGTTGGGGTCTATTAGAG